ATAAGGGAACCTGCGATTTTCTCTGTGATGACGACAACGTAAATAACGCAACTGCGACTTTATTCTAAAAAAATATCGCATACGATATTTTTGTAAAAAACTGAAATTCATATTACATATATTGTAGCTTTTTATCAAGAATACAACTCGTCACCGTATCCGATGATTTGACGATGCGAAAATTCAAAGCGCACAAGTTTCGGCACAGATTAATATCGGAAAGCTGAGCCGCAAAAGTAACGGCCGTGGCTCGCGAAGCTGTGAAACGCGATCGCGGCAGGATCGATCGCGGATTCGTCGTAGGGTCGATCCCTCGTTAAAGTTAAATTCGACGGAAGTGGAACGGTTCTCGAGTGCGGACCCACCAACGGCGACGGTAATATACTTGGACGCGTCGTTTTTGCCGAGCTCTTGGGCTTTCTTACGTGGATCTAAGGGGGTTAATCGAGATTAACGACAAAGCCAATTGAAAATTCAACCGGGCCAGGCGAGGCGAAGCTCCATTACGCGCGAGAGATCACCAGACGGACGTTACTTCTAGATGGGGTTAATCCACGGGGATTCTCTCCGCCATTGTTCCCGGGTGGCCCGCATTTACATACCGTTGCTCGTACAATGGCGTCCTACCTGACCCGACATACAGGATGCAAGGTGGTGAACGGGCTTACGAGCCGCGAGCAACCGCGATAAGAGGCACGATAAGGCGCGTCGTTATCACGACCGACCGATAGCCGACCGTGTGTAGCCGTTGATTCTCGTGAGTTTAGCCACTTCGAGAACCACGGAATCGTGACGCTTGAGATCGCTCTGACGGATTCGCGCTCTCCCTCGCGCCCGATTGAACCCGTCGCCCAAGTCCCATCGAATTTAATCGGCGCTTCTGACACGGAAGTCGACGGAGCGTTTCCTCGCTCTCTTCGACGACGCTTTTGTTTCTTTGGACCGGAGCTGCAATTCTGTACCTTCGCTGTGCGCGACTTTTCGCTTGTCTCCGCGAGTTGAACGATTATTACAGGGGAGACCGGGGCTACGTGGCCCCAGGGGTATGTTGTTCATGTACATTTTTTAGTATCTATCTTGAGAGAAGTTGGTACGAAAAATCGCGAAATAGTCCTTTTAGAACATAAATACTTTTCTTCGAATTTTTATTAAAATTAGAATAATATTGCAGGTGAAAAATAGAAAAAACTGGACTTTTGGTGGCAGCAAAGTAAATTTTCGAACCTGTCATATAATTAAAAAAAGTTGTAAGCCTCCTGTCACTGTTTTCCTGTGATTGTTTCACGCTTCGTGACAATCATAGAAGCCCATTTGAGCGGCTACTCGAGCAGCTCGCGAAAGCTGATGCTACGGAGGACATTTAAATCCTTTGCTTCGAGGCAAAAACCAAAGACAGCCGACAGGGTTCAGTTATCCAGAGCTGCACCAATTTCGATAGCCGCCGCGTGCACGACTTTTCCTCCGTGAGCCGAGCGATTATTGTATTCGGCTGCTGATTCTACGGAAGACATTTAAATCCTTCCACGTGTGCCCCGGGATTCGCATGGAATATTAAGTGAGGTGGAGAGCTCACGAAAGCCAACATTTAAACGGAATTACCGCTGCTGACCAAAAAGTACGTTCTCAAGTTATTACCAGACCGCAAATGTTCGCGCGTACAGGGTGTCTCAGATTCTACTTCGAACGACTCGACTCTCCTTTTTGTAGAACGTAGAATCGAGATATTAATTAAAGGAGATTTGTGCATCATCGCGCACAATCATGTAACAATTTTCTTTTATTAATAACTAAAAATCTACGTGGTTATTTGCAAAATGATAAAGGGCTCTTTTGTTCAATTTGACTTTATTGCGAATATCGCAAAACGGTATGGGACTTTTATGTTAACCTCAGTCCGTTCTATGTTCTCATAAAAATTATAGACGAGAGTCTGGGACACTCTGTATATGTACGTGCATACGCAGTTAAAAATAAACGCGGATTCTCCGCGAGCTGAGACATATTTTTACTTTTAGACCCGCTGTTCCGTTCCGCCACTCTTATCTCGAGTCGTACAGTTTCGCGTAAACGTCCATGCGATCCGGTTATTATTAATTCCTCCTCCCCGTCCTCTCTTTTCCCCGGCCGTTTCGGTTGTCCGCGAGGAAACGGCGAACATTTCCTTCCTTCATTAGCGCGCTTATCCGCGATCGCTGATCCTTTATCGCGAATCCGTGCCTCTTGGAGGCACGTGCGCGGTGCCAAGCCGAGAAATCCGAGCGGACAAGAATAGCCGCGGGATTTTCCGCTCGCAGGTGTGCAATAAAGACGTCGCGCGCGCGTCTCGCCGCGCCGAAACCGCTCCTTCTCGTGCCGGATTCGTACGTGGCCACGCGCGACTAATGAGCAGAGAGAATGCATCTCGTCCGGCGACTTAATTAACGGTGAACTGATTACGGTCCCGTCGCCGCTTGCGCCTCAGCCCGACGTAGATCGATTAATCGTCCGGTGGCGCATCGATCAACACGCCTCGCGCGATTAAGAGATCCCTCTATGTCGCGTTACACGCGCGCCTCGATCCGCGTCAATCTGCGAGATTTCACCGTCGTGACGGCGCAATTTCGTGAGGGAAATTTTCCCTGGGAACTTGGCGATATACCGCTGCTCGCGACGCGCCTTTAGCGCGGATTAATTTTTTAGTTTTGCAGATTGCATGGCAAGCGGGTCTCTCCTCTCTTTTGCGATATTGCCGTTACATTTTTGGATCCGTCCGCTTGCGAGGCGAGGACCGCGAAAAACGCGTGTTACGCGATCTGATCCAACGTTTTCCCGAAGGTCGCGTGACTTTAGTCGAAAATGGAAAAAGGGAAATATCGTCTTAATTGGGAATAAAGGATAGTTTGAACAAGGAAAGTGGGCTCGCCACGTACGTTTGAAGCGCAGACCAATTCGGTGCTTGTGTCTGACTTGTTTCACACAACGAGTTCCGTGAATAATTCTAATCTTCTGGCAGTCACACTAAAGAACCAATTAGACTCTACTCTCGTGGCAGAGTCATGCTCTCGTCACTTTAGATTGTTCTCTACGAGAAGAAGTTTGTATATTTTAATTCGCCGCATTTGTGCGAGAATGATCCAATCTATATGGAGTATGTCTCGAGAAGAATGAAGATGACAATTGGACACACGATTGAAAAAGTATACATAGCACTGAGGTTCTCCGCAATCGTTCCAAGAAGTCAAGCTTGGACAATGTTCTTCTCTTTAAAGAAGTATTCATTGACAAGCTTGACCCTTGAAAAAATGAGTAAAAAAGACACGATTAGAAAATAAGAGCTGTTTTTAATTTTAATTAGTTTTAACAAAAACACCAAAATCACTAATGATTCACTAACCATTCACTTTGTGAATTGGTTTATTCTTGCACAACTACGGGCAATCGTACGACGTTCCCTTCGACGGCGTATCTGAATATGAATGCGAATTATGCATCAGCATACGCGAACGCATCGATTACTTCTGCAAACAATTCATATGCAACGTTCGTGGCGCAGGATTAATATCTAACGATCCATCTGTTTAAAGGCCATCTATTTTCTTCTCAAGGATCGCTCGTTTTTGTCGCGGCGCGTTTCACGCCGCGTCGTGCAAAATTTGCATACAAGTGTAATAATAACCGCGCTCTTCTGAAGGTGGAATTATCTAATCGGCGTTACCTTCAGGCATTGCACTATTATTATTGCGCACTATCGGCGTTTAAAAAAGCGTTTAAAAAAAGAGAGAAAAAAATATTGTGACATCGATACGCAGACATCTTTTGAACTTGCTTCCTGATATTTTTTTTTATCAATATTCCCCATCGATTGTTGACTCGCTGAACGATAACGAATTAATGACTCGCGGACTTTGGACGGGCTCGTAACCCGCACACAGCAGCTTCCGACGAAACTGCCGGCGTTTTCCGAAAGACTGACAGTTTCCGATAAAACACACACACACACACATCGGCAAAGAGGCCTCGTGACATGCGGATTATCTTTTCATCTTTCGTGAGCGCCAAGCGAGCCGACACGTGCGATTAACCGTGTAAGCGAGACAGGCAAGGTTCTCGAGCAATCATGAAAAATGTAAGTCACAATTATTGAAGAAAAATCGTACGTCTGTATAAGGTTTCTTTTTGTATTGTAGTAAAAATTACAATATATATACAATTTTAGTATTCCAGGAATAGATTAGCACTGTGATAAAAATTACAATGAAACATAGTAAAAATGACCATAAACATAGTAAACATTGCCATAAATGTAGTAAAAATTACCATGTTTATATGGTCATTTTTACTAAGATAAGTCCTCCAGTAATTAAACAATGTCCCAATGACTGATACATTAACAATATTTATATTTGTCATTTAAAAAAAAAATTTTTGAGATTTTGCTGATATTTGTTTCTGCCAATTTGCAATGTTATTCGACAAATATCTAATCATTAGTTAATACGTAAACTAATCTATTGTTAATGTATTAACCATTGGAACATTGTTCAATTACTGGGACATTTGCCTTATGTTTTATGATCATTTTTGTGATAGTGCCTAGTCTATTCCTACTAAAACTAATATTGCAATTTTTATTACAATATTCTCTCCGTGTACTTCTTACCACAATGAGAGGGTTGCCCGTTAATAAGATCAAGAAGGGAATAAAATGAGAGAATCTATCACGTGAACATGTGTTTGGACTATATCAAAATGGCACGATCGAACTTCTCGATGATACTACTCAAGACGATTGAGTGCCTCCTCTCGTTTGCACAGTCAATCGCACGATTCGACCGCTTCGACGAAACGCCTCGCAAACGACGAGGAGTCTCGCGTGTCGTGATCCCCTCTTGCGAGCAAATCGCGTCTACCGACTGCTTATAGGGTTAATAACTTATAGGGCTGATAAAAGAAGAATAGAAAGGAAGGCGGGTAGGAAGAAGTAGGAGAAGGGGGGAAGAGAACGAGCGCATGTTACTTGCCTTCGACGATCTGCTCCTTCTTCGCCAGGATCAGGGGAATCGCGCCGGAAGTGCTCATGCCTGCTGCAGCTCACGTAAGTAGATTGTACCTTCGCGCACGCACACACCACAACGAGCGAACGGCACCGCGGCAATAACAACCACACAGTCTCCCCAGCCGGCTTGGGCGGCGCGGAGATCGATTTATCGAATGACAGTTCCTATTTTTGTACCGGCTGGATTCGCGCGAGAAAAAAGAAAGTGGGAAAGAGAAAGGAGACGGAGAGAGTCGGGAAAATCCGACAATCTCGGACGAAGAAGAGAAAAAATCTCTTCTCCCGCCGATCCGAAAAGTTAGCAGCGGATCGTAATTCGCGGCCTGCGGAAAGTCCTTCGTCCCGTGTTGATAATCATGCGACTAATTCTGGAAATATTGACGCACGACTGAACGAGACAGTAGAAAACACCGTCGCGAGTCAGACACCTCTGACTGCGACGAGAGTCCGGAGATCCGCGACGGGGATTAATTTTATAGTAAAAATCACTAGAGAATTTTGTAGCCGAGAAATAGATCGGCTGTCCTCTAACTTCTAACACTTCGTGTTACTTACATTTCACGAACTGAAATGTGCCATTAAAAAATTTGCTATGTTTCTAGCGAAATTCGCTATGTTTTTGATGAAATATACTGTATTTTTTCCTTGGCAAAATAAACTTTACTGACAGTCTATTCCCGTATTATTAGCATGGGGAAAAAATTTGGTTGGATGAGCCAATTTTCGGTGATATGAACAATTCAGACATTCTGATTAAAATGATCAGAATTCGGTTTAAGTTAACCAGAGGTCTTGATAATTTAGACTGAATTCTGGTATCTTCAGAATTTCTAAATTGTTTTTATTATAAATATTTACTCTTACTTACTCTCCACCAATGACATTGATCTTGATTTACGTTATCAAGGTGATATCCCTGAATAATATTTAAAAGATTTTAGCCATTGCTTATTGTTCTGTCATGTTATCACCTTGTCAAGACCAAATTCATTGGTGGCGTAAGAGTAAATATTTCCCGTTTTATTTCACCAGAAATTAGTTCATCTAACCAAACTTTGTTTTTCCATACAGTAGTGTGAGAATAGATTGTCAGTAATAGGAATAGACTGTGATAGAAATTGTCTTAGAAATTGGTTCATTCAATCAAACTTTTTTTCTGTGTAGAAACATAGTAAATTTGAAGAGTTTACACGAAAAAAAATATAAAATATTTGTTAATATCTTCTATTGTTAATATTTCTTTATCATGAATATTCTCTCCGTGTAAATTACGCTTTTCTTTCAGCTCTTACTTTATCGAAAAGATGATAGACCTCTTTCTCTTTATCATCATATTATATTATAAATACGATGTAATTGTAAATATAGAAATTTATTGTTATCCGTTTTGTAAGTACCGAGACGATAAAATCAACATTATCATTGGAATGATCGAATTTATGAATAATGGAGGATACGAGCAGTTGGAAGATCACGAGACGTCGTTTCAAGTTTCTAACGGAATATCAGCCGAAAATGTAAATAAAATCCCCGATCTCGCGGCTAAATTGTCTTTCGATTTCCTAACGTTCAAAGCGCTCACAGCTCGATACGAATTCGTTTCTTCTCATGATATTAATATTTGATCTCAAAAACGAGAAAGATATATATATATATATATATATATATATATATATATATATATATATATATAGAGAGAGAGAGAGAGAGAGAGAGAGAGAGGGAAATGGAATCGAGGCAGCAATCGAACTCTCGAGAAATAAAATGATCTTTATACGGCGGGATAAGAGCAGTATATATCTCGCGAGCGAATAAACGGTAGGACGAACGAACAAAAGGAGACGAGAAAATAGTTACCAAGTTAGACACTTAAAATAAGTCGGACGCACACGCGCATCCGCGGATCCCTTTTTCTGTCGCTGTCAATTTTTATCTTTCAGCGGGCTTATCTCGTGTGCTTGATTAGAAGAGCGTGATGCCGGTCTACGTCGCGCTCGTTCCGAGCGTACAACACTGTGGGAGGGTGGACGGGGCTGAGAGAAAGGGGGAGAGAGAGAGAGAGTTAACGCACGTTCCGCTATTTCTATTACACGTCAGCGGTCGATAAAACGTAACGCTCATCCAGCATGTATCATGGCGCATCGACATGTAAACCGTGCCTCACTATACATAGTACATATAGGAGCCGAACAACAAGTGTTTGTAACACGTTACCGTCGTGACTGCCGACTTGGAAATGCGAGAAAGACGGCGCATTAATTGGCGCGACCGCGACTCGCGATAGCGCGGGCGCACACGAAACGCGTCGCGTGTCATCGAGCATTATTTTCGCGTGGTTCATTCAACATTTCTCTCCGTCGGCGAATGTACTTCCTTCCACGTAGCGTTACGTGATTGCGTAACACAGCCCGTTTCCCGGTCGCGTTACCGACGGCGATAAAACTTCCCCGCGAGATCTCAACGAGAGCACGTTCATTCAGATGATTAAAAGTTGCAATATTTTTTGCTGAATTTTTCACGACGCACTACGTATCTAAGAGGATAATTTGTTTTCCAGAAATTCTCTGGGGATGCACGTTCCTACTGGATACGTTCCTACGGGATGTTTGTTGCAAAAATTGTCGAGAAAATGCTTTGCAACTTTTATGTAAACCCAATAGCACTATAATCCAGTGCAGATGTAAATCATGTAATGTAAATTTTATTCTAATCTATTCTCCATGTAATCCCTCAAAATTATAACCCATGACCTACACCATATCGCACTTTTCTCGAGTCCCGATTTACTGGGTATAGTAAACTCAGTCACTTTCGCGTCGAAAAGTGGATATTTTTAAGTGGATAGTTTTTCTTTAATTTGAGCACCAAAATGTCAGGAATACACTTATATCATTAACTGAGGTTTTATAAAAAAAAAATAATTTTGCAAAAAGATCAAATAGGAATTTCCTTAATCACGAAAAGGCTACTTACTTGAAAATTTATAATTTGATTGTAACACGCTGTATAGTGTAAAACCAATTATAATTTGTTAATTATCATTTGTTAAAAGGATGTAACTTTTTAGAAAAAAATATGGAACAATAATTTAAGAAAAATACATCGTTTTAACATGAAGAATTTTAAGATCAAGACTGATTTTAACGGCGTCTCCTACATCTGTTAAACAGTAGATGAGGCAACATAAATGTATACGCCAAATGTGGTGTTCTAGAATTAAAAATAAAACAAAAAAAGAACAATTGTAACTTACGAAAAATGATTAAACAAATTTTAAATCACTTTGTTTATAGGTCAATAAATGTAAGATGTTATTCAAGCACATAAAATGAACGTGTCAAAATTAATCGTCTGACCGTTTAGTCGGCTGCAAATCGATTTGCTCACTTTTTATCAAATAAAGTTGCAGCGCTTCAAGTTGTCAGAATTGAAAGTCATTACTGACGTGTATGCGCAGTAATCGCTCATAAATATATAAAAAAAATTATGTAAAAAATTATGTAAAAAATACTTCATAAAATAATGTTCTTTTAATTCAAAATAGATTCCTTCTTCCGTATTTCGCAAATGTCACATTCTGTACTATCACTTCGGCTTCTGTTGTAGTGGATTACAGCGCATACGCGTCAGCAGTGACTTTTAATTCTGGCAACTTGAAACGCTGCACTTCAATCAATAAAAAGTGCGCAAACCGATTTACAACTGAGTGTATACTCAGTTAGGAGCGCATTAAATGGTCATTATTTGTGACCTACTCACGAGTTTGTACAGTAATTGCTTATGACAGCAAGCGAAGTTACAGTATATATATGGTGTAAATAATGGCTCTTATACTTTCATTTGATAGATAAAAGTGAATATAATAAAGATAGTCACGCGTTTTTCCTGCATTCTTCGTTGCAGTTGCAACGTCAAATGTCTTATATTGTCATTTCAGCTCGTGTCATAACGGATTACGCAGACTCGTGAGCAATGGCTCGCAATCGTGACAATTTTAAGCGCTCCTAATTATATTAAGAAACAAATATTTATACTGTTTCGTAAAAGAATATAATGTGAGTTACAACACGGTTTAGATACAATGAAATTTGGAGTTCGTAAAACTGTCAGAATTGAGAGTGATTACCGACGGATTTACGCAATAATAATATAATTAATAATATAATTAACAACACTAAATAATAATAAGCAATAATAATATTAATGTAATAATTCATAATAATAATTAATAGTATAATTACTGGGAAAATCCATTAAACAATGACTCTGACAGTTCACAATTCTGAAAGTTTGATGAACTCCCAACTTCATTGTGTCTAAATCATTTTGCGACCTACATGTACAGAGGATTGCATATATGCCTAGCCATTTCCTGGGTCGAAAATTTTTAGTAACTCTCAATTAGGACGTACACACATGACGAGGGAATGACTGGGTATATTTATGCACAATCCTATGTGCAATCGAAACAACGAAAGTGTTTCCTCTCCTTCTCCTCGATGTTACATGCTTCGAAACAGACGAATATCGCGAGTACGACCTCGGCCATCTTCACGATCCTCACCTGTTCCGAAACTCATCGACATGAAAGGTGTCGTGACCTCTTTACCGCCGACTATACATACTCGGTGTCATGTCACGCTCCAAGGTTCTACACTTTTAACTCCCTACTGTACACGTGGACGCGCGTTCGCACTTTGGAGCTCGTAGCCCGCGATTTCCGAAGACTGACAACGAGTACACACGCGAATAATGCGCGAGGAAACGGCGAAGCTGTAAATCGCGAACGTCAGAGATCAGTACGCCGACGTCGATGTGGTTAATTCGGCTCCACTCTGCCGATCGTTTCATTCGTTCTACGCGGAACATCGATCCTGTGTGTGACACTGCGCATTAACGAGCACGAGTACGAAACGAGTGGAGGCTCATGCGTGTGCGTCTCTTTCTCCTTCTCTCTCTCTCTCTCTCTCTCTCTCTCTCTCTTGCTCTCTTTCGCTCTGAGGCTTCCTCTCGATTTCCGAACGAGGTCGAGAGGAAAAACCGCTGTACGGTGCGAATCGAAAAAGTCTCGCGTTTGCTACTAAAAATTGACAGCGACACCTTCCTCCCAGGATGATAAATGGCGGATAAAACGATCCGCGAGTCCAAAGACCGAAAGCAGAACCGTCGTTTCGCCGTCACACGGTTGAATTATGATCCCCGGCGGGGGACGTGTCTTGCCGCTGCTGTTTGCAGAAATATCGCGCGCGCTACTCCATTAACATAATGTAATAATAATAATAACGATTGTGCAACGTAATCGCATTAGCGATGCCGACGCATTAGCTTGCGGTAAGAACGATAAGGGTAGCGATAATAATGAGAACGCGGAATGGAAATGGCGGCAATACAATAAGGCAAATCGAATGTGCATCAGGGGTGGCTTTTTAAACGGCGACAGCGACGACTAAGTGCCGGGATGTAACCGCGCGATGACGATATAACGACCGCGCTTCTTACGGAGAATATGCGAGGCGCGACGGTGGAATTCGTGGAAAATTAATAAATTAATGCGCATTTGCGCACGTTCAACAAGTCGTTGTAGGACGTCGTGTCGCGTCGTGTTCGCATTTACCAGGCGCGTTACGTCCGCGAAGCTGAATCGCGACGTACGAGAACGGGCTACCAAGGACCACTTTAGTTTAGTAAACTGAACAAAAAAGGTGGGGGCTGATGTACGCTTCCTCTATCTCCGTGTGGATATCGTCAATCCGGCCACAGATTTATAAAATAGATTGCGCACTTTTATGAGGTGGTTGGACAGAGATAGCGTGAAGTCAAATGTTTTCTTCGTCACATAGTATTCCACGAGAGGGCGATATACACTGAGAGAAAAAATGCACTGAGAAAAAAGCACTTGAAAATGTGTAGGAGATAAAGCTTATTTTTATATAAATAAACTTTATATCTCACAAATAAATTTTCAAGCATTTTTCTTAGATCTGCCTGATCTAACTAAAATAATAGTTATTTTGGTTACTCAATCATATTTCCTGATTGTTCAAGAAAATGGTAGTAGTAACATACATCTAAGGTTATTATCACTAGCAGAATTCAACAAAAAAATGATTTTTTTAACCATAATTTATAGTAATTACTTTTTTATGTGATTATAGTTATAAATACTAAAGATGTTTTTCTCAGTGTAGAAACAAAAGAAAAAGAGAGAAACAGAGAATTTTATTCTGAGTTTTTTATCGATAAAAGTGTCTAAATGTGGCTTGTAGCCTTCTGATTGGCTCTTAGCCATGCACATTTAGAGGCGCTTCGATAAAAGATACTTCAGAACAAGGATCTCGTAGTGGAAGAAAGAAAGTTCTTCTGTTTCATTTTTCCTACCAGCTAGGCAATTAGACAAGGGAAGCATCTTACTCTGTATTGCCCTTCTTACTAATACTGACTTCATTCCTCCTATAGAAGGACCGCAATGTCTGTTCTATAAGTGATCTAGACATGCTCTCTCTTCTTCTCTCTCCCTCTTTCACACTATTGTTTAATAATGTAAATAATGACAAATATCTCTGATGATAACAAATATTCATAATAAATGCCTCGATCTCGTACGTGTATTGCGTAGTCGTCATAATCCCTGTTCATCTTTGTTTTTCTTTCTTTCTTTTTCGTTTATTTCGTACTGGTATCTCTTATACATCGAGCGCGTACTGAAAGTGCCGTTTCGAATGTGCTTTTTTAAATTAATCGTTTAATCCCCGTTAATTCCTCAGTTAATAATACCGTTACTCGAGAAAATGCGCGTCAGACAATTAATTTTATTTATTGGTATAATTCCACGTCACGTCCACGTTTCTCTTACGCTGCACGCGTAAAATAAGATCAGCATAATCCGCATCGTATTTTGCAACCGGGCAATTTTTCTTTTTCCTTTCGCGTGATATTCATTTCCACAGCGCCCCACGTTCCACATTCTTTCTCTCCCGGGTAAAACCGTGTCTCCGCCCCGGTGCACTCTTAGTCCACCCCTTAACCTTTAATTAGCCGTTACCTTAGATAATAATAATTGTGCCACTTCACGGGAACAGCGCGATGTTTTTTTTATTTACTTTGAAGAATATCTTTTTATTTACTTTGAATATCGCGCAATAAACACGATGATAATGAAAGAATTAAAGTAAAGGTAAAGAATTAAAAAGGAAACAGAGAAACGATTTTGCGAGTCGACCAAATTTTCGTACGCTCGAAGATTCGTCGAAATTTTCAGCCGCCCATCACATCGTGTCACGATATTCGATCATTTTTTTAAATTATGAACGAACGATTTTTCAGGCTCTCGCGATACTCGAGACAAGTTTCGAAGCTCCTCTTCAGGATCTACAACGGATTGTCCATTGGGGATCCTGGAAGGCGGCCTAGTTGCACCCGGATAGGCTCGGGTCGGGAATGGATCGATGAAGCCGCTTGCCTGTCCTCTTATCGACGTCACGTGATCTTCCACGGATCGTATCGACGAGATCTTGGACCGTTTCAGAAATTATATCTCCATACATTCAAGGACGAACGAGGTCTCCCTTCACACGATATTTCTCATGTCAACTTTGCATGGAGATCCGCCCGGCAAAAAGTCAAATCTGCAAAGAATCCTTAGAGAACAACATTTCTTTCGGACTAAACACCATGCGTCAACAGACTGACGCGTCGCACACTCTCGTCGATATAACGCGAACGTATGATTGTTGCGAAATCGCGCGACGTTTCACAATCTTAGAGGCGCGAGGGAATCCTCTCGCCTCAAGTTAAAAAGCGGATCTCCATGTGAAGAAAGAATATCGCGAGGGTGGTCTGCGGCCTGAATCACGCAAAGATGCGTCGATAGTCGAGGCGGGAAAGAACGCAATCAGTCAGAAAATTGACTGAACGGTTTGCTAATTACTACTCTATAAACGTCTGTTTATGAATTACTCTTTCATCAAAATCGATCATTTACGTAAGCAAGATATACCCTTTTATGATTAAATATAGACTGAAAGTGCAAAGTGGTACAAATGCTGAGAACAGTTTTCATTTGCTCCTTCTATTTCGCTCTGATATCCATTTTACCTTTTCTTTTAGAACTCTAACCCTGCAAAATCCGATTTTACTTATATTTTTCCATACATTTCATATCTTCCATGACTCGCGAATAAATCCCTGATTGCATTCACTTCTAGAAATAGCATCCACTTTCTTCCCGAATCCATACTTTGTATTTAACTGCATTACTTCCGAGACTATATGCACCCTTTGTATTTAACTGCATTATTTCCGAGACTATATACATCGATCACGTGTTAAATATTTGTTACACAGCTATACAATTGTAACAGTTATCTCAATCGCAATCTATTTTTCTTCCTTGTATATTTCTGCGCATGTACATGTAACAGAATTTACATGCGAAACACACTCCCACCCCTGAATTTACAATCGTAACGCTTTCTTTTAGAACTCTAATCCTGCAAAATCCGATTTTACTTATATTTTTCCATACATTTCATATCTTCCATGACTCGCGAATAAATCCCTGATTGCATTCACTTCTAGAAATAGCATCCACTTTCTTCCCGAATCCATACTTTGTATTTAACTGCATTACTTCCGAGACTATATGCACTCTTTGTATTTAACTGCATTACTTCCGAGACTATATACATCGATCACGTGTTAAATATTTGTTACACAGCTATACAATTGTAACAGTTATCTCAATCGCAATCTATTTTTCTTCCTTGTATATTTCTGCGCATGTACATGTAACAGAATTTACATGCGAAACACACTCCCACCCCTGAATTTACAATCGTAACGCGTATCCCTCGTTCTACTAATTTTTCCTCCCCACAGATTTCACTGAAAACTATTTCACCCTTTAACATTTGCATCATTTCACCCTCTATATAGCGCAAACCGTTTTATCTTTCCCGCCGGACACTCGACTCACCCGCAATACTTCCTCGTCGGCATCCAGCGGAAGCTCCGGACTCGTCGGAGAGAACTCAAAAACCGCCTCGACGCCTGGACGAAAGAGCCGTACCTTGTCACCCGGCTACCCGCAGCACGAAAGAGAGAAACAGCCGTCGCGCGCGACCTGCTCGAACAAGCCACACGCACACCCTTTATTTTCTCAAGCCGTCGACGCGTCGCACTCGACGATCTCTGTCCGGCTCGCGTAGATCACTTTCGATCGCTACTTCGGCAGCCCTGCCGGCGAGGGTGACAGAAGTGGAGATACACAGGTACCGAGGGAGTGAGAGAGAGAGAGAGAGGGAGAGGTGGGTGAAAGTGTATGTATGTGTGTGTGTGTGTGGAGAAGGAGAGGGGATGAGGGAGAAGAGCTAACGTACGACAGAGCTAAAGAGGCGTTACCTCTTTCTCTCTGTCTCTTTCTCCCTTCTTCTCCTAAGGGATGAGGAACTGGCGACGTCGTAGCGGCGTACCAGGGCGAACTAGGGAGCGACGGGAAGCGAGCGCGACGGCGGCCAGCATCGACGAGACGCACAAGTGGTTTTTCGCGTTTCGCGTCGTGTACGCGGGTGTCGGGGGTCGGCCTCTGCCCCACTCACCTGGTAGCCGCGTAGGGTGCGCACCTACTACTACCCGACTAGGTAGGCTACCACCCGAGCGACCCACCCGCCACCTAACCGCCCACCCACCCATCCACTCCGCCGCCCCACTGCTCGACTCGCTAACGGCGAGTTAGGAACTCTCCGATTGTAGGTACGGTTATGTGGCTACACACCTGTGTGCGTGTGTATGGTGTGTGTGTGTGTGTGTGTGTGTATGTGTGCGCCCACATGTGTGCTCGCGCGTATATATCGACCACGGGCGCGCGTACGTGCCAGATGCGGCCTGCGGATTGTTAACGCGTTCCGTCGCCGCCGCCGTTTGGCAAGGCTTCGCCTGTGTCGCGGTCCGGTTCGGCTCACCGAGGACCAAAGAGCCGGATGGCTCACCTGTTAACCCCCCCGGGAGGGGGGGGGTCTCCGGGGCTATGTTTTTTATGGCCAACTACCGGTAGGTAGGAGGGGACGAGGGAAAAATGGTTTCAACGCTCGTCGTTGCTTGCCAAAAAGGCAGACTCGATGGCAATTATCTCGTCTCTCGCGCCAGTTGCGCCGTAAACGCGTGTATCGTTTCATCGCGGGGTACACGTCCGGCAGCGTGTGTTGTGCCGCGGCGCCCTTTGACGGCGAGCCAGAGCGATTCGCGTTCTCTGAAAGTTAATTAAACGTCATCCCCCCCCCTCTTTTTGCCCGCAATTTGCATCGCAATTTGCGCCCCCGCGCGTCTTGACGTTAAGTATCCCGGCTATTTCGGAAATAACACGGTGGTAAATTATACACAGAAGAACGAAAAATTCAGTTTACCAGGTTGAAATGGAATTGAAATAGAGATCGGAGAAGATAATAATCTAATATGAGTGCGTGTAGAATATATTCTCAACGTTCCTGACGAGAGAAGCGAATATTTTAATAAAGCAAGACGTATCTGCTCTCTCGACATTTCTCTACACACTGAGAGAAAAGACTGGTAACTATAACAAACTGCATTTAGTTACAGAAATTCATTGAATCCTTAGTAACTAATACTAAATATGATAATAATTACCAAATATTTAATAGATCGGGAGTATGACGTAATTGCATTCACAATAATATTAATTAAATAATTTTGTAATAGTTACTTAATGTTAAATATTTAATATAAAATATATTACAGTTATGAACAGATATTTGATAATTGTTATGAAATCGTTATATCCCATATAATAAAAAATTCAGTAGGTACGAGTTCTATTTTGTTACCAGTATAAGTATGTTTTGTTGCAGCACAACGAAAAATTCATTCATTTGCAGCTATTACATCGTTTCAATATCTATTATTACAGATAGTTGGTTGAACCTATCAAAAATTTTGTAACTATTACAAAATCGCTTATTTTGCTCAACTATTCAATAAGTTTTATTTACCAAATATATTCTGGAAGCAAATAAATTTTACTTCTGTCAAATAAATAATTTATTTTACAGAACTAAATTAATTAATAAGTATTGCCATAGCTTTGGCCCGCTATATTTACGTCTATCATTTAGTAATAGTAACCAAATTTTGATAATATTTACTAAATTCTTCTCTCAGTGCACAGAGTTTTTTTTTTAATAAAAACAGAATATCGTAACCAAGATATAGAATTTCGTAACAGAGGAACAAATCGACATTCTGCAGTAACTGACTATCCTTTCACTTCATATTTGCACGGGAAAAAAATTTTAGTTGTATTAACATGAAGTTTGGTCTGAATGAATAAACCAAATCCAATGTATATTGGCCAAAGGGCACAGAATTTCCGTGGGTTATAATCCAAATTTGACTCTAAAAGCCAAATATCACGTTTGCTTCGAACAAAACGTTGATTCGTTCATTACAACTAAACCTTTTTTGCGTGTGCTATTTACATTTTAGGAACTGAAACATTAAAAAATCTATAAAGCTATAACAAGATTTACGTTTCTAGCAACATTTACTATGTTCTTTGGAAAGACAGACTATTTCTACTCTCTTAAGATATATATCAATAAAAACGTTTCTGATTTATTCCGTAAAAGGAGCATTTTATCGATAATCATAATATTAATCGGTAAATATTAATCGGTCTTCAGTGGAGACACTCCCACTTTACTGCTTCATCTTACATTTCACAGATTTCAATCAGTGAAAGAAAGATTTCGCTGCAAATTCATTGTACGCTGAATTAGATTCAACTTGCCGCGTTTCTGGCGATGGAATTACCGGCTTCCATGCGATTTGCGTGCAATGACACACTGTTTGTGTTTGCATCAATAATAGGAACAGTCGCTGCTATCAACTGATTCTTTCAGTGACACTTCACTGATTGTTATACTTATAATGAATCACCAGTTACAAGTATGGCATACACATACACACACACATATTTCAGTGAAGAATACACTGATTATACTTTAGAAAGTGCACTATTGGAAAAATGGCTTCAGATTGAAAAGAATTTAGTATACGAATTAAAAAGAACTGTGATATTCTCTCTTTGACATTTAACGCCTTTTAAATGGCGCATTATCTCAAAAGAGAAGAGCCTCAAAAGAGAAGAAAAAGCGTCACTGGGGAGCGAAATTATGGCGAAATTAATGGGACATCGGGCAGCCTCGTCCCCGGAAGAGCGTCCGCGCCGCGCGCGGAATTCGATATCTCGACGCGCGAATGTGTCCACCGACACCGGTGTCACCATTACACATACACACACACGTACATGGCTACATCCCCCCATTCCCTCCGGGAATATATGCCGGTCTCACGACAGATGACACATGTACCCGCCACCGGCCGGCGTCCACACGCCCGCATATGAGCATCGCTCAGCTTTGCCAAGGCTTAATTTACCTCAATTTACCTGGGAGACTCGCACCCTCTCGTCTCGCCGTACCCTGTTTCGATCGCAAGCCCCTCCCCGTTGTCCTTTCCACCCAAAGACGAATACGATGGCGTTGCAGCTCCAGCAAAGCCGCGAAAATCGCGCACTCGTCACCCTTACCAAATGTTTGTCCGACTACGATGGCTCTTGCTCTACTTTGAGAATGAGCGAAGTTCGAGCGATTTGTCATCGCTTCTTGCAGGAAAAGATATCGAGATATCGTCGTTACTGTTGCTGTACAGGGGATTGCATATATGTTTAGCCATTCTCTAACCATGTATGTGTGTATATGTGTTCTAATCGAGAGTTAGTAAAAATCTTTGACCTAAATTCATTCATTTCTAGAATAATCAACAGTCACAGGGTTGTAACGGTTGATTATTCGAAGAAACTGCAACAATTTCAAGCAGCTGTGACATTTGAATAGCTTAATGTTTTGTTTGTGTTTATAATTGCGGTTATTCAGGAGCTGTAAGGTAGCGAGCACAGTGCTTTATCGTTATCCATGTTTCATGATTGTTTTACCACTAATAACGTCACGAGTACACGTGAACGTCAGCGTAACACGTGAACGGATAACTGCAATTATAAACACAAACAAAACATCAAGCTGTCCAAGCGTCACAGCTGCTTGACATCGTTGCAGTTTCTTCGAATAATCAACAGTCACGATCCTTGACTATCTAAAAACAAAAGATCGAAAATATTTAATAACTCTTGATCAGGACACACACGTGGCTAGCAAATGGCTAAACATATATGCAACCCTCTGTACGTGGCATTAAAAAATACCTCTGTTGATTGTTCACTTATTAGATAAGTCTTTATAAGATAAGTCTCTTTTTATACGTTTATATACAGAAAGGAGATCCTTCGACGTGCCTTATTACGCCTTATGCTTGGGTGAATGTTTTATTCGTCGTATATGACGGAGTTTGTCGAACGTGCTGCGACTAACTGCACAGAAAGAAAGGATATTCTTGCTTGGAGAAAATATCTTTATCTTTGATATGTTTAATCTTTAAATAAAATTACATAGCGTTAAATGAAGTTACCTGTAAGGATATATTTTACATAATTGAACGAAGAAAAATTTGTGTTCTCATTATTCGGAAATAATTTTCGGAATTAATGAAAGATACTGAATTGGGAATATGATATTTTTAAATATATGTCTCGGGTATCTCTGTGTCTATTTAAAATTAATACACTTAAATTAACAATCATATTTCATATATTCATGTATAATCAACAATAACTTCGTTAGAAGAATTTTATCCTCTTAAATTAAAATAATTATTTGTTGAATATAAAATGTATTGACGCGAGTAAAAGCTTATCTTCGTTGCTGTGTAATATCATTCGAAGATTAACATGTCAGAAGTAGATATTTCTCAAGTAAGAATGTTCTTTCTTCCTGTGTACTGCGCGAAGAATCCGCAAAATCCCAAAAGAAATTTGTCTTCCATTCGACAAGACAGTCGTGGCGAATGAAATATTAACTTCGCGCTCGTCTCTCCCACGTTGTGTTAAAACTGACGTTCTCTCATTTCATCTCGAAACGAAGAGTCCGAGCTGTTTCTTTACACACGCGAGAGATTCCTTTGATCTTACCGTAAATTGTAAAAAACGGAATGTCGCTTTCGCGTCTGTGTAATTGAACGAACGACGGAAAAGTTTCTCGACGCCATGTACGACAATAACGATAACAATAAAAACGGTGCTATGTTTCGAGACGGTCGAATTTGATTGCGGACTGATCAAATTACGCGTAAAAACGTAACGGCTGTTATGAATTAATATCGGCAGCCCGATAATTCTCTCGCATTTCTCGTCCAGCCTAATTTAGTACGTTCGTTTAATTTGTGTCCATTCTTCGCCGCCGCCCGGTACAGCGGATGATTACGCGTGATTGATGTCTCGAAATGAACGAGATTCGATTAATGTACACATAAAGCGCCCGTTCGACGTATTCGTTCGTATTAATCCTACATTTCTGTCTAGTCGATTCCGACTTCCGACTGCATAATAAATCTTTTCTACGTACATAAGCTCTGCGCGCGTGTGTGTGTGTATGTGTGTTTATGTGTATGTGTGTGTGCTGTACAACCTTAAAAATTATGGATTACCTAAGCGTAGAAGCTATATTGATTCTCTCATCGATAACTAAAAATAAATCTCGTCACCGGAGACGCCTGCCCCGCTACGTAATTTCATTTTCTACACGATATCAGCTAATACCCGAGACGAAATTCTGTTTCTACATTAAACCTGCAAATTTCATCAATGGTGAGGAATAAGTCAAAATAGGGACACACATGCCCGATTAGAAATTTATCCCACGATCAGGTTAATCTCAATCAGTTATCAGTTTATTTCCGACGATGTTATCGGGCTCTGATAAGTCATGTAACCCAGCGTAACAATCAAGGATTCATTAATAATAAGCATTATTAATAATTAGGATTATATTAATAATTAAACAACACATCACCTTTTATGCAAACTATACTCAGGAGAAAATACATGACAATGGCAATTCTCCCGTAGTTGCCGCGTCTTTCCTCCGAGTGGATAAATTAATTGATCGGAACGATGAGATGAATTTCTAGCCGAATATAACAAACTATGCACATTACTATATACATATTATCTTGTATTATTTATTTTCAATTTATTTCTCTCACGGTGAGAAAGAGAGCGACGTGTTAGGTAGCTTTCACGTTGTCGCGAAGGTGACCTCCGACTGCGACGTACGAAGAGCCGATTCTCTCGGCTGTCGCCGATCGATCGCGCGGATAACTGAATTGTCCATCAGCGTCTACGTTATATCAAGTGCCGCAATTTATAGAAAGAAACGTCAGCGAAACGTCAGTGTCGGGAGACTGACGAGTCGGAAGAGCCGAGACCACGGGGCTCTCGCGATCTTTCGACTTCCGCTCGAAGGGGTTGGATCCGTGTAGGCGTCACGCGACCGAGACTGAGGCCGATGCTTTCGTCCGTGGTCTCTCTCTCTCTCTCTTTCTCGGCCGCTCTTTCGAGTCCTCGAATCTCGGACGCCCTCGGAAGGTCCGTCGTGATA